CTAGGGAGCTTTCCTGGGAACTTTCCATGATGTGCTGGACGTCTAAAGAGCTTTGGACAATATGTAGGATACAGCTGCCATAACTCATTGTGACCAATGAACAGAGAGAGCAAAATGGATAGAGAAGTTGAAGATCAAAGATTCCGGCAGGACACGCATATCTGTGATTGGTGATGAATTTCACTGCATTAGAGAAATCTGGCTGACTTCAAAAGATGCTGAACCTCCTGGCAAGGCATAGCAATAACCCCCCAAAGTCAGCGTGCTATGACACTTGCAGTTTCCCTCAATGTGAGACAGCACTGATTGCACTGCCAAATGCCAGCTAAACAGATTTATTTTCTCTGAGACCACGTTTTCTCTCCCTTGAAGCCTTCTCTGTGCTTTCCAATGAGGTGTACTTAAAAGCAAAGTTGGTAGCATGGCTCTGAAGTAGGTCTATGTTACAGCTGGGCAGAAAGTAATTTTGCTGTTCTGTTACAATATTTGACATTCTGCAGTACAGTCCCCTAACACAGATAAAAGCACCCAAGATTTAAAAAAAAAACCCTGAACCTTGATGCGCTAAAATTCATATTGTCATAGAATCATGGTATGGTTTGACTTGGAAGGGTCCCTAAAGATCATCTAGTTCCAAACTTCCTGCCATGGGCAGAGATGCCTTCCATTAGACCAGGTTGCTCAGAGCTCCATTCAACCTGGCCTTGAACACTTCCACGGATGGGGCAGCCACAGTTTCTCTGAGCAGCAATTTTAAAGGTTGATTTGCATGAAATGAAACGTTTGATGCCATTAATTATAAAACTTTTATTTTTAGCAAATATATATTTTTTTTTATCTTTACTGAGTCTAATTTTCTCAAAACAACACTCTTAATTTTTCTTTTATGTCACAATATGGCACTTCAATAATTTCTGATTTTTGGCATATGTTAAGTCAGGAAATGAACTGAAAACAATGTTTTCCCGTAGTGTTTTGTTTACTAGGAATTGGGGTGTTCTCCTATGAAAAATGATTTTAAATTTTCCAGCCAACTCCAGTATTTATGAAAAATGATTCACAGCAGTGTTCTGTGAATTGTTAAAGCAAAGGCAGCATCAGTAGGAGTTAAACACTGCAGATAAAAGCTGGGTGATGAAATAAAGTGCCAATGCCATCCTTATTCAACCTATTCATGCAAAACTTCTTAAAAGAGGATATTGGAAAAAATGATCACTAGCTTTTCAGTAGATTGTAGAAAGATGAGAACATCATCCATAGAGACATGACTGGATTCAGTTCTTGAAATACTGCTTATGTCCTCTCCTCTGGAAATATCATGTGGAGGATGATGAGGAAAGAGCCCCATTTATCAAAATGGGAAGGGATGAAGGTTTCCTGCCCTACTGAAAAGTCTTAGGAGGAGTGTTAACCCAAGCCAGAAGAGTAACAGATCTTGGCTCTGATTCCCAACTTCCATAAACTGCAAGGATGAATATTCGATTTTGAGCTTGGATTCAGACAGTTTCAAGAGCAATTATCCATCCATGCTCTGTAATTCAGCTATGAATTGGTCTTCCAACTCTCCTCTCATTAAGGTCTGAGTTTCTATTTATTTGGATTTCAAAGTCCATTCCTGCTGTTGCCGTCTTGACTTTTCCTCACACTGCAAACATCCAAGAAGGTACACGGAAAAGGGGGTTGATCCAATATCTTCTTTATTTAAGACAGGAAACGTGTAAGCAGATGATCTATTAATACAGCATTTATTAATACCCTCCTCACACACAGGAACCGAAAATCACAAGGCTGGCTTTGAAGCTGGGACTCCCTCACAGCAAAGTTTCCAGCAAAGTGCAGGTGCCTGCCATATGAGCAGAGCAGACCCTGGGACCACGAGTGAGCAATTTGATGACTGCTGTGTGCTCAGTGCCTGCAGTAGACTCATGTCAAGGTGACACTTCCCTGGCTCAGGTCTCCCCTTGTCTCTTACCGAGGAGCTGTAGATATTTTACTCCTGCAGGTTCCTTTTCTTACTTTTTTTAGTGCCTGATAGATGTTGTTCCTAAACACTTTTGCAGGTGATTACTGTGGGGAATTAGTAAGCTTCTTATTCACACCTTTCTGTCCAGCCCCTCTTGACTTGCATAATTCATTAAGCCAGAGGAAACAAGGGATCTCACAAAGCCCTGGCCAGCCCTAGAGGGGCTTTTCAATGGTTTAAGTTAATGATCGTTTTGGGAAATGTCTGTGTAGCTGTTAAGCGTTTTGAGTCCCCTCCCATTCTTTCCCCTGTTAATAGGTGATTGTACCACTGAGACGTTCCCCAAGAGAACCCTTAAGGTGAAGTATGAGCCTTGTTGCCTGTTGACATGCTGGCTAACAAGGATGAGACATCAGACTTAGGTTCCCAGAAGCAGTGCCTAAATTTTTGTGGTTTTCAAGCACTATAAATTTTGCTTTCTAGCACAGGTGAGGTTTGAACCCCTACCTGCAAACACTCATGTCCCAAGTGTCCCTTTCCAGTCCTAGGGACACTGGTAAAGGAAAATACAGATGTGAAAGAGGCCCTGAAGCCTTCAGACCTGCCAAGTTCCAACAAGTTTCTCGACTCCTCCCCAAGGTGGATACGTGGAGTCAAGGCATGAATGAAGGAGTAAAGCTTTCTGGCTAAGTGATACAGGTCCAGTGATGCTGCTTCAAGGGCGTGAGATCAAACTCTTGGGCAATGTCCACACTTTTCGTGTTTCAAAGGAGCATTCCCAGGTGCTTTAATTTGCTTTTGGTCCTCAGATTGGTCCCTTGCATATTTTTGGCCTTGGTTCACCAGCATCTGTCCAAACAGTTTCCAGGCACCGTTGGGCAACCAGCACGGCAGGGGCCATTCCCAGTTGGCAGTTTGGATATAGCTCCTCTGTTTTGGAAAGTGGGAGAGTTTAATGAATGGATGCAGGTATTTCTGTGCCAGTTGGCCTCCAGGGCTAGAGAACAGTCAGGGTTTAATTTTCTAAAAGAGACATAGCCTCGGGTCTCCTCCTTATCTCTGCCATTAACTTCCTGGGTAGTGAGGGCTTGGCTGTTTACCTATAAAAACGACTTTGTGAAAATGGAGCTTGCATGAAAGAATGGTTTCAAAGACTATTTATTATGAATATGGTTCTTTTTAACCTAACAAGTCATTCACAAAGTGATCTTGGCTTCCTTGGACTGAGTTAGTGTTCAGAGACATTCACTGATCATTTACAGCAAGAAACATTCAGCCTCTGGTTTGTTTTCTTTGCTTCCTTTTTGCAGTGGGGACCGGCCAGCTGAGAGATCTGCTTTTGTTTTCCTCTCCTTGATTTGATGATTGAAGCTTTTCAAACAGATCTACAACTCACGGCGAATATCCAGGATGAATTTCTATATAAATAAACACTTGGGATGAGGTTATTTTGAAGAATGGCAGTGTCAGTGCCTCTAAATGGCAAATAATAGAGTGAACTGAGCCCAGTCACTTTTTTTCCTGGAGTTGGAGAACTGCTATCCCTCCTGTTAACCTGTGCCTCTCTGTTTTGTGGTCTTTCCCGGTGCTTCTGAAGCACAGGGTAAGACACAGTAAGGGCTGCCTAAGGGTCAGTCCAGGTCCACAGTGAGAAAAAGGAGACTCTTCCCATTAAGTTTCCCTTAAGTGGGGTGAGGATCACTCCAGGTCTGGCTGCTCATGGGATGTGGGCTCAGGGGAGGTCAGCCCCTTACAGGGATGTCCACACTCAGCCTTTCCCAGGCGGGGATGTCTCGGGAGACGTGCTGGAGGCAGGCTTGTGTTGCCTAAGCATAGCTCTTGGCTCCATTGCTTGCTCATCTGTGGCTTTGCCTTCGCTCACTTGTTTCCTCAGATGAGTTCCTCTGCCTGCTTATTTGTGTTAGGAAAATTATCGTTCTTGTGTTTCGGTCTGTGTCGCTTCCTCCGGGCCTGTTTTGTTATTGCACCGAGGGATGTCTCTAATGAAGTGGACGGAAGGAGGAGGACTCAGGGCTTATTTTTATCCTATACATAGGAAGTTGGCCAGGACAGGGAAAAACAGAGCAGAAAGTCCTCAGAGCACTTCCACCCCTCAGGGCTGGAGACAGCAATCCCCACAGACCTGGCTCAAATGTTCCACCGCTGCCCAGGGACGCTGCCGAGGGAGGGAAACTTTCTCCGCAGTTTTGCTTGTTTGTTTTTGAAAGGAAGAGCGTGTGCTGCTTCCTGCCACAAGGATGGGGCTTTCTGCCCTGCCATTGCTGCCATCCATGCTTCTTTTATTAAGGAATTGAACCTCAGACTACCAGACCGACTTTAAAAAAAAGGGAATTTGTGTATGTGTGTTGGTAGTGTGACAGCGCCTTGGGGCCCTGACAGGGCAGTTACATCACACTTTTCTAAAGGGATGTGGGAGCTGGTCCAATGAGCCTCAAACCCAAACTGAACAGACAGAATCAAGGCAGCAACACACGGCAGAAATGAAGAAAAATATAGTGATTATGCTGGTACCAAAGAGAAGAGGATAGGATTAACCCAGACCTTGTGGTTTTTTAGTTTGCTAGGAAAAAGGGTGATGGCTTTAAGTCAAAGGAGAGTAGGTTTAGCCCAGATATTAGAAAGAAATTCTTTACTATGAGAGTGGTGAGGCACTGGCACAGAGAAACTGTGGCTGCCCTGTCCCTGGAAATGTCCAAGGCCGTGTTGGAGCAACCTGGTCTAGTGGAAAGTGTCCCTGCCCATGGCAGGGGGTTGGAATGAGATCTCGAAAGTCCCTTCCAACCCCAAACCATTTTGTGATTCTATGATTCTGTGGTTCTATGATTCTGTGATTCTGTGGTTCTATGATTCTACGATTAACGGCTCATTAGATCACACTGTTATCCTAGAAATTTTGGGGAAACTGAGGCACATGTTTTAAGGCTAGATGTTTGCCTTGCATTCCCATTTTTTTTGTCATATTTAATCTCCTTTCCAGAAGACTGCAGGCTGTATTTTTGCTTTTTTTTTTTTGCAGTGGTCACATCCAAGGAGAGGAGCAACAGGCTAGACAGTCAGAACTCTCCCACGCAACTTCCCTGGCACAGACCAGCATCACCACTGAGCATCTCCCTCCTCTGCTGCTGGTCCTGTCACACAGCTGGGCTTCAAAAGAGGATGCTCCTCTCCCATGTGCTTCAAAGAGAAACCAGGAGCCACAGAACAATTACTCCCACTCACAAGACGAGGGGAAATCCTCTTCTAACAAGGGATCATCCTGTTACAACGAGGATGTCTGGTGATTTATGACTTGCTGCTTTAAACTCTCCTTCCCCTATGAAGAAACACAGGAGACAGCAAAGCTGGAGGGAGATACAAGAGAGAACTGACACTGGCAATACTTAAAATATAGTGGGAGAGCTGGGAAAACCCTTTCTTTCTGTCCTCATTAGCATGACTTAATTAATACTTACAATCTTATCAAACAGAAGTTACCATGCAGGAGGGATGTGCAGGCTGGAAATTAAAGCTTTAATAAATAGATATTTTAAGACCAAAAAAGCACCACTGTAATTTTGTCAGGCTTCCTGTGTAATTGATGCCAGAGATAGACCTTTTCAACGAAAAAAAAAAAAGTGGATTTAATGGGGAAGTATTGTGATATTTTTGGGCAAAACTTGTAACAAGAAAACTTTGAGTGATTTATTCTGTAAAATCCAACTTATCTGCACTTGATTGGCTTCTATTTTCATCTTCTATTCTTAAGCATCCTCTAAATCCCAAAGACTGCCTGCTCTGTAGGGCTTATACATCCATTTTATTAATCTTTTTTCTCTTGTTGACTCCAACTTTAGAAAAAATATCTCGAGCTGGGGCAAAAAAAAAATTGGCTTTTTTTGATGCTGAAAAACTCTTGCAACTTACATTAAACACTGCAAAAAATTAATATCTCTGCCATCAGTTCTGTTATTGTCTCTGACATTTTTATAGATATCCCATCTCATTTAATTTGTGTTGTGTTTGCACCTTAGTCTGGGTCTTAGGAGAGGTGACATCTCTTAATCTCAAGAATATTTTGTCATCCTGATGTCTAGTGTGGCAGTAAGACAAGTTGTCCCCACAGGAATCAAGAGGAAACAGAGTTAAAGCAGAAGCTCCTCTGTCACCCATGGAAATTGGATGCCAGGCCAGCTTGTGTTAGGAGCAAGCTCATCCAAAATACCTTTTGAATATAGAGAAGGTCATGATTTTAATCCAGACTGAGTCCATCAGTCTCAGAGGATTTTACACTAACATCACTGAGATTTGAATTTGCACCAGAATGTTAAGAAGAGGCCATTAACAGGATAGATTTTTTCAGTGCTAAAGGGGGAGAGAGTAACTGTGAATTATAAAGCCACATCCTTAGTGGTGGCTATAAATTTGGATAAACCTCCTCCCCTCAGTGCTCTGGATTCTCACATGCTGTCTCATCAGGCTGCTTCCCTCTCACTTGTGAAATATATTACAGTAGCCAAATTACCAGGGGATGAATGACCTCAATAAATTCAGTCATTCTGCTCTAAGAGAAGATACCATGCTGTGGAGAACAGAGTGAGAATGCATTTTTTCTCCCCAGACTTGCAATTATTCCCATTGTGTGTCAATTTTATTGGCAGGTGATTTTTTTTTTCCTCCCTTGGTTGGCCCCAATTTGAATTTTTCCATTCTGCTTCCCACTGTAAATGCCTTTTCCAATCACTGTATTTTAGCTTATATCAATGAATTCTGTACAGGGTAAGAGAATAAAGCAGGACAGGGCCTCAGCTGGGGTATATCTCCCTTGCTCAACACATTTCAAGAAACTCCCTGATGCTCTGACAGCTCAGGATCCATGCAGTGCTGTGAACATTGGACATAATCCTACCTTATTTTTTTGTAAACAGACTTGTTAAGCTGTGCATGGGAGAAGTTGTACCCTATGTTATTAGAGGAATTTGATTGTTTCTTTTTTTTTTTTTTTTTTGCAACATGTACTTATAGAGAATCACAGAATCACAGAATGGTTTGGGTTGGAAGGGGTCTTTAAGATCATCCAGTTCCAACCCCACTGCCATGGGCAGGGACACCTTCTGCTAAAGGTGCCCCTCCAATCTGGCAAAATTAAATATTTATTTCCAGAGAAAAATTTTATACAGATTCACAATCAGCCCATCTTCATCTAAAATTCAGCAAATGCTTTTCATCTTCCTGGTAACTTGACTCAGTGCTCTAAGCAAAGAGCCTGGGGCAATGGCATCTGAGAGGCTCCCAACAGCAGCAAGAGAAGTTCAAACCTCACTGGGCAAAATATCCTGAGCTCCCTGGGGAGAGCCTCTGAATGGCAGGAGAGGCAGAAAACAGGTGAGAAAATCTCTACCCCAAATCCCTAAGCACTGTGGGGTTTTTTTTACAAAATCTTGTCAATATTAATGTAGCTTCTCTTCCAACTGAGAGCAAACAGAAAGGACTAAAAGTTTGTTTCAGCATCCATACAGACATTTCTGAGGAAACAGATACACAAACCCTGTGCTGAGAAGAGAGGAGGTGCAATTTCCATGAGAGACAATTTAAAACCAACAAACTGATAACGAGAACTAAATTCATTACTTCTTTAATCAGCTTCTAGATAGCCGAAAAAATAAACCAAAAAAACCCAAACCACCAACCATGAGTAGCATCTGTAAGAATCATGGAATTATAGAATCATAGAAGGGTTTGTGTTGGAAGGGACCCTAAAGATCTTCCAGTTCCAATCATCGCTGCTCTGGTTCAATTCCAAGTGAATCACCACCATGTCTGGAACTGACTCTTGCCTCATCAACTTATAACCTTATAAGTAAAACGTGGACATCTGTTCTGAACTTCTCATGGAGTCTGCCCCTGAAGCATCTGCAGTAAGACTGACACTTGTTGTTGGGGGATGATCTCACACCATGACACCCCAAGGGGTCCTAATGCCAAAATGACATGATGAAGAATCATGACCACAGGACCTGGAAACATTGAAGATCAGGTTGGACAGGGCTCTGAACAACCTGATCTAGCTGAAGATGTCCCTGCTTATTGCAGGGGGATTGGAATAGATGAACTTTAAAAGTCCCTTCCAACACAAACCATTCTATGACTTTATGACCTTGGACATCTGAGACTTGATGGCTTGAGAAAGGTCTTACTGATGGATTTGTTCCCATTCTTGCATACTGGAAGAGGACCTGTGGTGTTTGCTTTCTCCCCAGCCAGTGAGCTGGATCATGCAGCAGCTCCCATGCCAGTTGAAGAGCCTCAGTCCCAACTTGAGATCCAGCCTTGGAGCTTGAGAACCAGTTTGACCATTGCAGTCAGACCTGGTGGAGACAGTAAGTCTTCATTTTGTGCACACTGCTTTTGTGTGAGAGCAAAGTACGTGAAAAGGCTCCTCCCTAAAATCTCTGACCAGAGTAATTGCTCCACAACTCATTACCAAAGTCAGCAGTGTTGTAGTACTGGAAAGTTCATTCCCTTTTTCTTATCATTAAGATCAGAGAGGGAGAGAGATAAACTAAAAGACAATGGCAGAACAGCCCTCATTTCTCTAGGATGAAGAACAAATGTGGAAGGTATGATAAGGAAAACAAGAACCCCCCAGCAAGTACTGGAGCCTTGGAAGAGCTTTGTCTCATTCCAGTTGGTGTTGGAGCTGTTACTGAGCAGGGCTGTGGTGGTGGCTGCAAGAGCATTCATTGCCCTTAGTTCTCAGAGGCAGAAACCCACACTAGAGCAAGAAAGTCTTGCAGCTACAGTTGCCCATGGTTACTCCACTTCCTGGTAGATTTTTGATTATTCTTGTGCAATTTTAATTTCCTGGTATTTATTTAATTGTCTGGTATTCTTGGTATTATCTATGTCAGTTTTTTTCTCTCTCATCAGACATAAGGCAAGATGCTCTTGATAACACCTGCATCAGCTTCCAGCTTGATTCTTTCTCCCTCTGACCTGAATCATGGTCTCACAGGAAAGGGCCAATGGTATCCTCAGGTGAATTAGGAGAAGCATTGCGAGCAGGTTGAGGGAGGTGATCCTGTCCCTCTGCTCAGCCCTGGTGAGGCACATCTGGAGTGCTGTGTCCAGTTCTGGGCTCCTCAGGACAAGAGAGACATGGACCTCCTGGAGCAGGTCCAGAGGAGGGTGACAGAGATGATGAAGGGACTGGAGAATCTCTCTAACAAGGAAAGGCTGAGGGAGCTGGAGCTGTTCAGCCTTGAGAAATGACACTGAGAGGGGACTCATCCATGTCTGTCAGTGTCTGCAGGGAGGGGGCAGAGGATGGACCAGACTCTGCTTGGGGGGGCCCAGCAATGGGACAAGAGGCCATGGGCACAAACTGATGCCCAGGAAGTTCCATCTGAATATGAGGAAGAATTTCTTTCCTCTGCAGTGACTGACCACTGAACAGATTGTCCAGAGAGGGTATGGAGTGTGCCCCACTGGAGATATTCCAGAACCATTTGGACACAATCCTGTGCCAAGCGCTCTGGGATGACCCTGCTTGAGCAGGGAGGATGGACCAGATGACCCACTGTAGTCCCTTCCAACCTGACCCATCCTGTGACTCTGTGATTCTGAGATTATTTCAAAAATGCTCTATTTGAGAAGGCCAAGGGCAAATTGGGACACCCATGTTCTGCTTGTGCTGCTGTGACAAAGGAAAGAAAAGGTTGCTAATGTGGTATTCCTCTTAGAGTTGTTTCATCTTACATTGTCACTGTTAAAAGAGAGTAGTGCTTTTTCTTTATCCTCTCTTTTATGACATCTAAAGGTTGAGAGAAAACAGGATACAACATTAATAGAAAGCTAAAGTTTTGCTTTAAAGCCAAATCCTTTCATAATACCCTTAAAATCTCAGTGACTACAAAGTTTGCAGGAAAGAGTGATTTCTTCAATTTTCTAATTTCAGCTGATAAAGTTGCAGGGAAGAAGAAAAGGTGCTTTGGGGCACATGAGTCTTTCTTTAAATCTCTGTAGATTTTGAAATGTCATTGTTCCCTGATTTACCTCATGAAACATAAACTTTACTAAACATGGTACATTAACGACAAGGTGTGCAAATGTGCCTTTTCAACTCTGAAACAGAGTTGCTTCTGTTCCAGACAGAGCTACTTCTTTGGACCCAAGATGACAAATAATTCAAGTTTAAACATAGGTAGTTGTTTGTAGGCCCCAAGACACTTCATGGCAAATTCGTTCCAGCTCCTTTTCTCAATGTCCCCATACAAACAGGACCAAAATGTCAATGCCAGGAACAAGAGAGGAGACAGTTATGTACAGTCTGAGGATATGAAGCCACAGTGACTTTTATATATACATAGACACATGTATATATGTATGTATGTATATGTATATAAATTAAGAACCCTGAAACTTAAATCCATATGCCAGAAAGCCTGCAAACAGGCAGAAAGCTGAGGGCATTTTGGAAGAAAAGGATATTGCTGCCTGCCAGTGTGAGTGTAAACTGCATATAGGTTTAGTATCTGATGCTTTGGGGGTTTGAGATTTTCAGCTGGGTAATTTTCATCTAAATAGAAGTCAGGTGTTTTTCAAAA